CCGTGGCCCCCTCCCTGGTGCTCCGTGAAATTAAATTTTGTCCAGCCACCAAGCCTTTCCATGGGCTGTTCCCTCTGCCAGACCGTCCAAATCTCACCTGCTCCAAACAAAGTTGCCCCTCCTGGGCCCACCTCCTCCCAGAACACCTGTCGCCACCTGGAAGTATTTATGTCATTATCTGTCACCTAAGAACTTCACCCATCAGGCTGGGAGCACCCTGAGGGCAGAAAGCCAGGCTTAACACACAGTAGGTGTGTTTTTTTTTTTTAATTTTTTTTAACGTTTATTTATTTTTGAGACAGAGAGAGACAGAGCATGAACGGGGGAGGGGCAGAGAGAGAGGGAGACACAGAATCTGAAACAGGCTCCAGGCTCTGAGCGGTCAGCACAGAGCCCGATGCGGGGCTCGAACTCATGGACCGCGAGATCATGACCTGAGCCAAAGTCGGACGCTTAACCGACTGAGCCACCCAGGCGCCCCCACAGTAGGTGTTTAATTAATAGCATAGGATGATGCAATCACCTGGCAAGAAGACTCATCAGGGAACCTAAGGAAAAGAACAGAGTATCTCTGAAAAATGAACACAGAAGCCCCGAGGGGTCCCACTACCCTTGCCTGGGGACTCCAGTCATGCCCCTCACTTCCCTTCCCCCACCACGGCTAATCCCCCGGTATGACCAGGGTCTTCTGCTGCTCAGACATCTCCCATGGCTCCCTAATACCCTCAGAATACAGTGGGGCTCCTTCCAACATTCCACAAGCTCTCTTTGGCCAACCCTTCCTGCCACGTTGCCCGTCCTTGGAGCTTTCTGGCCACCAGACCTTGCCCAAATTGTTTCCTCCCCTGGATCGTTCTCCCCTCAAGGCCTGTGCTTGGCTCCTACTCATCCTTCATTCAGTTCCCCAGCTCAAGCCCCTTGTCCACACTCGCACTCCCCGCACCGGAGCGTTGTCCAGCTTTGTCCCTTTGCGCCTCTGAAGACCGGCTGCACCCTCAGGTAGCTGAACGTCCCTCTCCAGCCCCAGAGACACTCCAAGCCCTCCAAGTACCTTTCCTGCTCCATAAAAGATGCCCCCCTTTTCCGGCCTGTCTCCCAGCCAAGGCCTGGATGTGAATCCCTGGGCCACGCTCCCAGACGCAGCCAGCAGGTGGCACTGCGGTCCCGC